GCCACCTTAGGTGTACGTGGCTGGTGCCTTAGCCGGTTGAGCAATAGGCGTTGAGCCCCACAAGCCTTTCTTAAAGATGATTTTGATCTGTCTTTTGAGAGATATATGGCCAACAAAAAATGGTCCCATGCATAGCAGATAGAAAAAGCCAAGAGTCTAGAAAGTAACAAATTATATAATAAAACCTCAAAATATTAATAAGTGAAGAAATAACATTTATATTGTGTATGGCATGGAGGAGACCTTTGTCACCCAACTGTTAAAGCAGACACTGGATAGTTAGTAAAATCTCAATATTCTTTTATAATACAACATATGAAACCAATAATCTAGGGGAGTGTTTTTTAGTCCATGTTTTAGGGTTTTAGTTACCTCACTAGCTATGAATATTTTTAGCAATTTCTTGCTTACTTCCAACATATGCTGCTGTATGTGTATGTTTGGGGGGAACTTACTTTGTTATGAAAATATTGTTTGAAAGTTGTTTATCTCTAAAATAGAAAACACTGGAGGAATTGGTCAAGGAATGTCCAACAGACTAGTAGTCAAAAAAGCTGACATTAGTTAGGACTTAAATGACATTCAAACATTTCTTTTTTTGAGACAGAGTTTCACTATGTTGCCCTTGGTAGAGTACTGTAGCAGCACAGCTCATGGCAACCTCAAACTCTTCAGCTTGAGTGATTCTTTTTTTTTTTTTTTTTAGCTTGAGTGATTCTTTTGCCTCAGCCTCTCAAGGAGCTGAGACTATAGGCACCTGCTACAATGCCCAGCTATTTGTTGTTGTTGTTGGTTAGCAGGCCCAGGTCAGATTCGAACCCACCAGCCCCAGTGCATGTGGCTGGTGCTCTAAACACTGAGCAACAGGTGCTGAGCCAGGCATTCAAACATTTTATAACCAATTAATTTCCTAAAGATTTTTGGTTCAACGATAACTATCATGGATTCTACTAAACTTCCTAGGGAAAATCAATATATATGTCTACAGCCACCTCCATTAAAAATAATTTAGAATCTTCCAATTTGTTAGGAGCAAAGCTGCATTACCTAAGACCATCAGAGCCATCAGGATCCCAGACAATGCTGTGAAGGTTGGAGTCCCATCATCTGCAAAATCCACTTAGTAGTTTTGTTTTGGTTCTGATAGTGCTTTTGTTTACATTTTGAGAAGACAATCATATTGCTAAAATTTTCCTCAGAGATGAGATGGATAGATGGTTGTAGGAGTTCTAGTTACAAGGACCATTATTTTGCAAACCTTCTAAGCATCTTTAAAGAGAAATGCTTTAGAAATGTAACAGGAGTCTAAGGAAAAGGGAATGCTATTTGTTAATGTAGGAGCCAAGGGAAAACTTTTTGGTTTTCTGAAGGTTTGCTAAAAAAATCAGCTCAAAAAAGCAGATTAATAGGCAGAAAGGAATACAAATTTATTTTAACATGTATAGCACAGAGAAATTGTAGGCAATGATTTTCCAGTAACCCAATAAAGTACAGATAGTTATCCTCCTTCTTAGAGAAAGGGAGATTGTTACCGAAATTTCCAAGGTCTTGGGGATTCGAGGAATGAACCTACAGACCACAGATCAGTGGTAAGACAGGATTTTTATTAGACAGAAGAGAATACAGGAGTAAAAATCACCAGAGATTCTGGCGAAAGGGTAGACCTAAGTTGGAAGTCTCTCACATGGGCCCTTTGTCTAGGGCAGTGGTTCTCAACCTTCCTAATGCCGTGACCCTTTTATACAGTTTCTCATATTGTGGTGACCCCCAACCATAAAATTATTTTCATATGGTTGGGGGTCACCACACATGAGGAATTGTACTAAAAGGGTGGTGGCATTAGGAAGGTCGAGAACCACTGGTCTACATGCATATATTACATTTTTGGCCAGGACTTAGTAGGTGGAAAAACATATTTTCAAAGTTAATGAATGCATTAACAAATGAATGAATGCAGTTCCTCCTCTGCTAGGGCAAGGTTATCTCAGGGAAGGGATTAGGGTGTGTGCCCCTACTCAGGGTAGAACTACACAATGTTCATGATCTTACTGAAGCCCAGAGAGTGTGGCCTGGAAAGGGCAGCCTTTTTGTGCCTGGAAATCAGGGTCTGACTTCTGAGCCCAGAGAATCATTCCCCTGGGGCTGGGGACCCCCTGTCCAATCCCAGGTAGGGGAATCCTATATCAAGATGGAGTAGTGTGGATGATTTTCGGAAGGTACTAAATGATTTTTAGGAGAATTCAATGAACTTGAACATACAATGGCTTGAGATAATGTTTCCTGGGCCCTCTGAGCAGACAGTAGTTCTTCCCAGTCACTTTGATAGACTTCAGTCTTTCTTCCTGGGATAGGAGCTCAGTTGGAAGGAATCACAGGTAATTGTTTTTCTCCTTGGGCAAGTTTGGACTTCAAGGTGATAAGGAAACTTTAGAGAACTTTATCCTGTGCTCTGAGAGAGACAAAGGATTTTGGGGTGGGGCATCGAGGTCCGAGAGACCTTTAAGTGGCTTCTGCAGCTCCGCAGGTCCAAGGGCCATATTTAAGGGTAATTGTTTTCTGAGCTCCAGTGCTAGAACCTCCTGTCTGTATACCATTGGCAGTGCAGCGGCCCTTTCAGTGGTTAATTTTATTAATTTGAACCTACAACATTGGAGCAAGGTAGGTAAAAACCCCAGTCAAAGAAGAGGAAACAGAATTACAGCAATCTGAAGACTTGTTTAGGTAAGGAGCAACAAAAATTCAATCCCATCAGCTTTGATATGGACGCTGGTTGAGGTACTAATGCTTCGATGGGGGAGCAGCCAGGACCAGAAACTCTTCCAATTTCTTCTGTAAGAAATTGGAACAGAAAACTCTGGAAGCAGAGTAACCAAAAGCGCAGAAAAAACAAGGCTTAAAGGAGCTGAAATTCAGCAATTCTTGGGATGACTGTGGCAAAGAGACAGTAGTTGTCCTTCGGAAACACCTAGGGGCGTTTTCCACACTTCTGGCTGCCTACTTTGTCCGGGTTACTGCAGCATCCAGAAAGTGAAAACTGCCTGCCCGCTGGAGACTGTCTCCCCGCTCTGCAGCTTTCTCTCCACCCTCGGGCAGGGACCACACTAGCCCTGAACGAGCATGGCCTTGGGGCTCGCTGGTTTTCATTAGTCTGGGACAGACTGGGAGGGCGGAGGCGGGCCTTGGCGACCGGCGACCATCTGGCACTCACCGCGTTCCCGGCGCGCTCTCTGTCCGTCTGCAGCCCGGAGGCTCGCGAGGGCGGCAGGCGTCCCAAGCTCAGTCCTGAAGAAGCCATGGCGAAGTCCAGGGGCCGTTTGTACCTTTGGATGTGCTTGGCTGCAGCGCTGGCATCTTTCCTGGTGGGATTTATGGTGGGTAAGTGTGAGAAACATCTTCCCAGATCCCGGGGCTCCTGCTTCTGTTCAGAGGTAAAGGAAGAAAGCTTGGAATTTGAAGGAATTAGACTGTGTGCTCGCCTGGGCCAGCTGAGCTGGATTCAAGGAGCTTTGCAAATTTCAGCTAAATTACAAAGCAAATGGAAGGTGTTTTGACTTTCCTAACAGGCAAAATGTAACTGAAATTCAAATTGATTAAATGCTCGACAAATTCAGGCTACTGGTATAGGCTGTTGAAAAAACAACAACTTTCACTATCTTAAGGGATTTAAAAAATGGTTTTATTTCGAGCAATATTAATGAGTCAACGCTTTCAATGAATATGGGCAGCTGCAAAGAACTGCTCTTCCTTTAGATAAATACTTGTGGAATGCTCCCTGTGTGGCAGGCGCTGTGCTGAGCACTAGGTGCCCTGGGAGAGTGGGAAAGGCCAGGCCGGGATGAATAACATAGGAGAAAATGAAAGAACATCCTCAAATAAAACTTGTTTCAACCAGCTCAAAATCACATTACATGTCAGAATTTTAGTGTTTTCTGCGTTTAATATGAACATATTTTTTATTAACACTCCTATTCTAATGAACATTTTTTCTTTAAGCTAAGTTTTACTTGTTGGGTAATGGCTTTTGGGGGGATTGGAGCTATAGTTTTATAAAGTCAAAAGTGATTATGTGTATATATATGTATATTTTTCTGTCAGGCTGGTTTATTAAGCCTCTCAGAGAAACAGCCACATCAGTGCGCTATCATCAAAGTATACGGTGGAAATTGGTATCTGAAATGAAAGCTGAAAACATTAAATCATTTCTTCGGTAAGTTTATTTTGTATATTTGATCTTAAAAAATAGTGTTTAAAAAATTGCAGAGTGAGAAGTGTATTATATCTGCTTTTTCTTTATATGAAAGTATATATTACTCATTAATTGATGATGGTTTAAAATGTCTATTTAGACCACTCAGGGTGAAAGCCATTCCAATATTACAGAAGTAGGTCTGTCTTTCTTAACTTCATCTACCAGAAAAGTATCTTGTTGGCTTATTGAGACATGTTTCAATTTCACATAACTCTGGGGCTGCAACTGAATCATTCTTTGTTCCTCACCTCTGGGTTTAATCAGCAATTTTATGTAGACATCATATTCTCTCAGGAAGAGTTAGATGCTTGGTAACTCAGTTGTTTAGTGGAAAAGAGATTGAAGTTACAGTTTCTGTCTGCTCAAAGTTAATTTATTCCATATTGCAAATATACATCTATTGTTTACAAATAAGACAAAATGAAAGCAAAAGGATCAGTTTTACAGATCCTTCAGCTTCTAAGCATGAAAAAAGAGTGAATTCAGGGGAATGACTGTGAACTCCTTAAGGTCAATGACCATAGCAATTATTTTGGGGTTTAGACTCTCTCAAAAGGTATCACTAAAAAACTCAGCTTTGCTGAAACATAATTTATATAAAATACATTGCATCCCTATAGAGCCTACAATTGAGAATATTGAGTACATGTGATATTTTTT